GGTGTGGGTGGGTGTGAGTGGTGTGGGTGTGGGTGTGGGTGGGTGTGGGTGTGGCGTGTGGGTGGGTGTGGGTGTGGGTGGATGTGGGGTGTGGATATGGGTGGCTGGCGGGTGTGGGATGTGGGTGTGTGGTGTGGGTGTGGGGTGTAGGTGGGTGTGGGTGTGGGTGGATGGGCAACGTATTGGACTACAACAACATCCACACACACGCCCACATCCACCCCACACCCACACTCACACACCCACACCCACCCACACCCCACACCCAACCCAGGACATATTGTCAAAGAAGCAAAATAAAAATACCTTTGTATATTCAGTATTTCTTTTTATGGAATAATGTTAATATAAGTTGTAGAATTGTGTAACATCATTTTAACGGCCAATCAAAAAAGTCACTTTTTTAGACAAAAGAACAAAACAGCAAAAAATAAATTAGAAACGAAGAGTACTTATATCATGTCAGAAGAGATGCCTTCTTCACATGTCTTTCTACTTCTGTTTTCTTGCTTCAATTCTATAACGTTTTTGATGGTTTCTTTCATTCTCTCATTTCTACTGTATTCATGCAGCTGGTACAATGGCGAGAGGAACCTTGAGTTTGAAAATAAAAAATAAGAAAAGGAGAAAAAAGAAAAACAAAGAACGACATTTCACATCTACCACTACGGTCATGTGAGTTGCGACGTACATCAATAATAAGAAAAAAAAATAGTTATTGTAAAGCATTAGAAATTTTATTATTACCAATTGTATAATGGACTTCGAAGATTTGAATGTATGCATTGATTCATCAACGACTTTGAATGATTCAAAATTTGAAGGAATTGTTACAAATGATATCCAAACCAGGCATGTATCAGTATCGAACCTCACTTCAACTACTATAAACAATAGAAGAAACGAGTTTACTCCACTAGAATGTCATCCAAAATATAATCTCATTGAAAACATTATTATAGTTTGGTTTGATTCATATGATAACATTCGAAATTCTATCATGTTTCTTCAAAACATCGCCGACTCGGTCAAAATATTTACTGATATTGATCGATGTTTCGATTTTATTAGTGATCTCGTTAATGAAGAAGTCTTCTTAATCATATCTAGTGAATTTAGTCAATGGCTTATTCCTCTTATCGAAACATTCATTCAATTGAACTCAATTTATATATATTATAATTCTAAACTATCATATAAAGAATGGACCATTCATTACAAAAAAGTGAAAGGAATGTTTAATCAAATTGAAGACCTTTCTTATCGACTGAAACAAGATATTCGTCAATATAACAATCATCTAACACCAATTAGTGTTTTTAATTCATCTTCTATTACAAATCCAAATGAATTAGATCAATCATTCATGTATTCATTATTATTAAAAGAGATTATTTTAGATATGCCATTTGATAATGAAACAAAAAAAGAATATGTCGAATTTTGTCGCATTCAATATGCTGGAAATGATACGCAAATGAAAAAGATAGATGAATTCGAAGAAAACTATCAACCTTTATTATCTATTCAGTGGTATACAAAAGCATGTTTTATTTATTGGACTTTAAATAAAGCTTTAAGAAATCAAGACACTGAAATAATAATCAAGATGGGATTTTTTCTTCGAGATCTTCATTATCAAATTAAACAATTACATTCAAAAATGAAGAGTCATGATCATCTGCGTGTTTTTCGAGGACAAGGTGTATCACTGACTGAATTTGAGAAGATAAAGAACAGTAAAGGTGGTCTTTTATCATTCAATAGTTTTTTGTCAACAAGTACTGATGAACATGTTGGGGATATGTTTGCGGATAGTGCACGACAGAATCCTGATCTGATTGGTATCAAATTTAAAATAGAAATCGATTTTTCTATTTCAACACAACCGTTCGCTTCTATCAAAGAATTTAGTTCCTTTGAAGAAAATGAAATTCTCTTTTCCATGCATACGGTATTTCGAATTGTTGACATACAAGAAATTGAAAATCGATTATGGCAAATCGATTTAATAGTAACAAGTGATGATGATCCGCATTTAACAAATCTTACTAAATACATTCGAAATGAAATTGATGGATCAACAGCATTGCATCGAATGGGTCATTTGATGATTAAATTGGGTAAATTTGATAAAGCTGAAGAATTCTACAATAAATTACTCAATCAAACTTCTGATAATAATTACGAAGCTATCGCTCATCTTAATCATCAGTTAGGGATTATTAAGCAAGAGAAAGGTGATCTATCAGATGCACTCACCCTCTTTTCAAAAACAAGTGAAATTATGCAACAACAATTGTCAGCGAATCATCCCGATCTGAGTATTCTCTACTATCACATTGGACTAACATATCAAAGATTAGGAAAACATCCAGATGCACTTTCATACTATGAAAAATCACTAGAAATTGAACGAAAATCTCTTTCATCTGATGACCCAAAACTTGCTACTACCTACTGTAATATTGGTTTACTCTATAATGATATGGGAGAATATGCAATGGCACTCTCTTACTATGAGAAAGTACTTGAAATCCAACAAAAATCTCTTCCACTCTATCATCCATACTTGTCTACTACATATCATAACATTGCTTTAGCTCATTATGGAATGGGAAATTATTCAGAAGCATTATCTTATTATAAAAAAGCACTTGAAATTCAAAATAAATCTCTTCCAACAGATCATTTCTTACAAGCTACTACCTATTGCAATATTGCTTCGACTCTTAATGCAATGGGAAAATATTCCGAAGCGTTCGATTATCATAAGAAGACGCTGGAAATCGAGCCAAAATCTCTTTCATCTAATCATCCTGGTCTTGCTATTACCTACTGCACTATTGGTTTCTCATATCATGAAATGGGACAATACTCACTTGCACTCACAAACTATGAGAAGGCAATCGAAATACAAAAAAAATCTCTTCCATCCAATCATCTCGATCTTGCTAATACATACAATCATATTGGTCTTACTTATGAGCAAATAGGCGAATATTCAAAAGCACTTTCATACTATGAAATGGCATTAGATATTCAACGGCGATCTCCGTCATCAAATAGTCAATTGCATGCCACAACGTTCAACAACATCGGTTCTGTGTACGCCTCAATACAAAAATATTCAAACTCGCTCTATTATTACAAAGAGGCACTTAAAATACGACTCAGTTCTCTTCCATCTAATCATTCTTGCCTATCTAGTACATACAACAACATTGGATTGGTATATACTGATATGGGAAAATATAAAAAAGCCCTCTCGAACTATGAAAAGGCAATTAAAATCCAACAAAAATCTCTTGCGTCTGATCATCCACTGTTAGCTATTACATATAATAACATTGGTTTAGTTCATCAAAAAATGGAGGAATATTCAAAAGCATTGGCATACTATAATAAAACATTTGAAATCCAACAAAAGTATCTTTCACCTGATCATCCATACATAGCTATTACACTTGGCAACATTGCTTCAGTTCAGAAATCTTTAGGATATTATCAAATAGCACTCACAATGTATTGTAAAACACTTGATATTATGAAGAAATCTCTTCCTAACGATCATATATTATTGGCTACTACATACAACAACATTGCGTCATTGCATGATATTATGAAAGACTATTCGACTGCATTGTCATACTACAAAAAAGCACTGGACATCAAACTGAGATCTCTTTCACCTGATGATCCATCACTGGCTATTACTTACAACAATATTGGTTCAGTTTACCATTTCATGGGAGAGTATTTGACTGCACTCTCATACCATGAAAAAGCACTTGCAGTTCAACATAAATCTCGTCCTTTGAATTATCCATTATTGCGTATCATTCACTATAATACAGCAAAGCTACTAGAAAATCTTCAACGGGATACAGAAGCTATCCACCATGCCCAACAAGCAGTGGAGTATGCACGACAAGATTTCGATTGTGACTCTCCAGAAGTTCTAGAAGTTCAGAAATACCTCAACTTCCTTCAGAAAAAACTCTAATGAATATACGATTCGTAAAATAAAGCTGGTTATCTTTGTCTACTGTCTATTACATACCGCTTCACTACGATATTGGCGCGCTGCTTTATGAAAAATGGATTTAATATCTTTCTTTGTTTATGTATATTACATTATTTTTACAAATATTCTTAATTTTTTTTGTTTTTTGTGTGAAATCAAAGAGGATTTGTTTTCTCGTTTTGTTTCTGTGTACGCTTTCATATTAAACAAACGAATAGAATTATCAATTGTGTTTAAACAAACAATCGTAAACTCAAGTAACATTGAAAAAGTGATTCTTTGAATAGTTGGTGAGTAGTTATTCAATGTAAAATATCTTAAATTTTGTTCGTGATCTATTTAAATAAATTCTTATTTCATTCAAGTTTTAATAAAATGTTTTCTTATGATAGCTGATCAGAATACATATGGACAAAGTGATTGGACAAGGAATACACATAATTAATCAAAAATTGCATGTGACTCATCTAAAAATAACAGGATTCGATTATCCGGTCGACAATTAGAATGATGGCGGAATCAAGATTATTCGCTTCCATATGATTTGTGGATTCAATTACATGATAATATTCTTTCTATAGTTAGATACGTTTTCTTGAAAAAATAAAATTTGAAAGTGAATTAGAACAACGTCAATTATAGTTTGATCAAATATTTGAAAAACGAAAGAGGCAAATATTCGATGGAAATCAGGCATATCTTCAGAAATGTGTCTCTTCGTTCGAAAATGGACGTGTGAGGATCTAATAGAAGATATCGATCAGTTTTTCGTAACAGCTTCAGACAGTAAGAATTGTATACAACAAGAACTAAATTGTATTGAAATACCCTTCGATTGCTCAAATAAATCATTAAATAGCATTGATTCATCGTTATTTTTAAATAATAAATCGTCTTTAACAAATAATAACAATTCGAACTATTTTTTACCCACGATCGAACAAGTAAAACTAGGTCTAGATCAATGTCCTATAGAAATTACGAATGCACTACAAGCTAATCGATGGTTCGTCAGTTTGGGTGATCCAGGTAGTGCAAAAACTACTCTTCTTCGTTGGATTACACATATCTTTGCTGAAGCAGCTTATCATGAAGATGAAGAAATAGTTTTCGAAGAAGAAAGTGTTTACCTTACAATTCGAATTCCAATTCGAATTCGAATTGTTGAGTTTGCAGAATGGCTTATTCAACATCAAACAAAGACATTAATAGATTATATCGGTGAACACACGTGGTTTTCAGAACGTTATTGTCATGCTGAAGATGGAAATGTGTTGAAAGAGCTGATATATCATGATCATGCTTTGATTCTTCTTGTTGAACTCATGGGCGGCGCAAGCTCTTTTTTTTTTAGATGAAGCAATAAACTTTAGAATGAGACTGTATCCACTTTCAAATCATAGTTTAAAGCTCCGCAGTAACACTTTTCATAACTAATTTCTCAAAGACATATTATCGAAGTCTTGCGTATTGATTTGCGTTACAGTATCTAAAGAACTCCAGCTCGGAAGTCAATTTTTCTGAAAAAAAAATAAAAACTAAAATAAATGTATGGAGAATTAGCCCACGTTTTGCTCTTTAGAAAACAATACAGCTTTTAAAATGATACTCCCTTTTGGGACAAAATTTTCGATAATTTCTATTATCAACTTCTTAAAAAATATGCTTTTCGCAAAAAAAACGGGAAACATCTTTCGTTTTTTCTTAGATAATACATTCTCCAATGCGTAACCCAAATTTCTCTGTCCAGGTTGATTCAATATATTTAGCTTTTTTTTGTTTGAAAGAGCACGTCAAAATGCAGGGCATTACAGAGTACTTTTTTAAACTAAACTATGTTTTTTTGTTATACACGCAAATACTTATGTAAATGGATGTTTCTTTTTATCAGATCTTCTGAATTATTGATCATATGATCTAATTTCTCTCCTAATAAAGTAAGAATTTAAAAAAGAAGGACTCTCTGGCGTTTTACAGCTTGAATCAGTTATCTTTGATAGTTTTGTGCAGTGTGCTGTATTTATGCAAAACATTTGAACTATTTTATTTTGATATAATCAAATAGAGTATTAATTACTCTGTCAAATTATAGTTTTTATTTTATTTATTTTAGATCTTGTACAAAAATTCGATAGTCTGACAAACGCTGAAAACACAACTTTTTCACATTCATATGTCAGCCACAATAAGCTCAATGGTGATGAAAATTGTTTTAGACGGAAGAGATCAATCACATTTTCTGGTGCAAAAAATATTCAACAGAACGGATTCGAAATTGAGAAGACAAGTGACCTTGACTCTTAAATTTTAACCAAGTTTTGTGCTAGTGAAAAACCAAGTTTGTAGAGCTTTTCACAAAAATTTATTTGTAAGATTTGACTTACATCAGATTAAAGCTAGGGAAATTGATAGGGAAATCAACTGTTTGTTTGAGTTCTTATCAAAGACAATAAATGTGGAAACATCGGATTGAAATCCGAGTGTTATGCGTACTTCAAAAAGTAAATTGGACAGATGAGTCATCCTAGCACGTGTAGCCATCAAAATTATCCTAGCGAGCCCCTTCGATTAAAACTTGATTTGTATCGGTTACTGCTCAACCAATAGGGTTTTGGAGCAAATATAGCGCAGATTTAAACACTTTGTTCTGAATTGCCCTCAGAAAGACGTTTTTCCTAAAACGTGATTTCTATTGGTTACTGCTCAACCAATAGGATTTCGAGGTAAGTGGGACTCAGATTCGAGTTCTCCGCCCTAGAAAACCTCGATGTATCATCTCTGTGGGTATGGGGCGTGGGTGTGGAGTGAGGGTGGGTGTGGGTGGGTGTGGTGTGTGTGTGGAGTGTGGCTGTGGCTGTGAGGTGGGTGTATGGTGGCTATGGGTGTGGGTGTGGATGTGGCTGTGGGGTGGGTGTATGGTGGGTGTGGGTGTGGGTGTGGCAGTAGGTATGAGTGTGGATGTTGTTGTACTCCAATACGGTGCTCATCTACCCACACTCACATCAACACTCACACCCCACATGCCCACACTCCACACCCACGCCGACAAACACACCCACACCCTTATCGCATGGCTCAAGCGTAAGGATATTGAATTCACATAGTGTTTCGAACAAAGTTATCTGTCCATTTGGTTTAGTGAAAAGGCGATATAACAACCAATAGTTACTACGGATAATTATCGTGCCAAGATGTTACACCGTTATGATGGCTTTTAATATTATTTCAACTGAATAAACATTCGACATTTTTCTCGAAACAATTCATTTTAAATGAAGTACTAGTAAAATACACTGTCATTCGTTTTCAAACTTATGTCAATGCCTAAAGATCTGGATGGGGTGGGTGTGAATCAGAGATGGGCAAGTCAGCGATTTTTTGACTCAAGTCAAGTCAAGTCAAGTCAGAGTCGCTTTAAGTCAAGTCACAAGTCAAGTCAAGTCATTTCTTAAAAATTCCAAGTCAAGTCACAAGTCAAGTCAAGTCATTTCTTAAAAATTCCAAGTCAAGTCAAGTCAAGTCGGAGCTACTTTGAGTCAAGTCACAAGTCAAAATTCAAGTCAAGTCAAGTCAAGTTGGAGTTCAACCCCGATTTTCACTGTGTTTTCTTTAAATGAAGACAAATTATCGAAAACATTCTTTCCTTGATCCATATTATAGTTGTACTCTCGTTTGCTAAATTATTTATTAATTTAATTATTATAAAAACAAAGAAAACAACGTATTTCCGTTAAACAGATTTTTGGGAAATGAAATGTCCAATAAAAATTGAGAAAAAAGATTTTCTACGTATTTCAACAGCCATCATCTTATTTCAGACGAATTCACTCTGTGAACATATTTGCTGATCTTCATTTCGATTTTTCCACTACATTTCAGTTAAAAAACCGAAATTGAAGTGAATAAAATCCCTTTAGATATATACATGTTTAGACTTGACTTGACTTTTTTATATACGGCCAAGTCACAAGTCAAGTCAAGTCATTCTGAAAAATTTCAAGTCAAGTCAAGTCAAGTCATAATTCGTTCAAAAAATCTTCAAGTCAAGTCAAGTCAAGTCATAATTCGTTCAAAAAATCTTCAAGTCAAGTCAAGTCAAGTCAGACTTGACTTGACTTGGCTTGATTCAAGTCATTTTTTGACTTGACTTGCCCATCTCTGGTGTGAATGTTTGTTTAAGTCTCAAGTTGAATCTTTTGTTCAGACATATCCTCAAGAAATACGTACATGAAAGAGCAAAAAGAAATATAAAAATTTCAACTATTTTCTCTCTAGTATCCATAAACTCTTCTTTGTAATGGAGTATAACATTCACGTTTTAGAATCTGAGCTGACACATATATCTATGAGAATAAATGATCTTTTTATTAAACAAGATGCCAAACAGGAATGTTGAAGCCAATGTACAAGTATGGTGATTCTCTTGCGCGCGAATTACTTCGAAATAAATGAAAATGAGCAAACAAGCGAGGGTGTGGGTGTGGATATAGATGTGACGATGTTAGCGAATGAAATACTTTGACACTCACCCACACCCACACTCTCATAACGTATTTAGCGTAAGCCACTTTTCGAAAACCTATATCAGTCGAGGAAATTTCGAATTGCATGAAAGTTTCAGAATATGTTGGAGTTGATGGGGAGAAGCCGTATTAAAAATTCCAGCTCTACATCATGATGTTTGACGGAGATATTGGTCAAAAGTGGAAAATAATCACTCGTTTTTTTAAAATGCCATACTGTTCACGTAGGGGCTGACGGATATCATACAAAAGTTTTGATAAAAACCTATAGCCTTTCTGAAAGAGCAGAAATCGGATTATCTTCCCATATATTTGTCTGTATTCGAACGCTTTTAAATCAAATTTGAAAAATGGATTTAAATTTCAAGTTTAACAGTACTTTAGAAGAGTCAAGTCATTGTATTTAAAAAACTTTCGTTGAAGATTGAATCTCTATAATAGCGTCATCTTTTTTCAAAATTTAATAGCTTTTATATTTGTTCATCGATTGTATAATGTATGACAGGTATGTGATAGTAGAACTACGAAACATGAAATAATAAAGATGCATATGTTTTTAAATTAAACCAATCTCTTTCTTTATGAACCTGAAGACAAAAACGAAGCATCTTTCTATGTCAATATATTGTGTAATAACACAACAAAACATGATTCATAATATACAAGAAGCAAAACAGAACAAAAGAAAAACTAAATGCATGCGTCACTTTGTCTTGATGATAGGAATGGAAAAATCCAAGTAAATGGTGAATTAAATATATGAATTGTTTTCACTGTATTTCTACACACAGATTAATGTTTAGGAAAGAAAATTTGTTTTAGAAAAAAAATTAGTGCGTATAGTTGGTCGTAATTCATTTAGTATTACAAATAGATTCGTTTTGAAAGAAAAAGTAATATGAAAAATATTTTAGTATGAATATATTCTTTAGTTTAGATGAAGTATCTTTTTTGTTTGATCATTTTAGATCATTACATTTGTATTTCATTGTTTCATTATTGTTTATTGAAAGCAAACGAAAGTTTATTTATACATATACATTATTTCTGATATTAATATTCATCAGTAGGTAAGCAATGTAATGCATATATATATTTTTCTACTCAACATGGATTTCTTTTGAGTAACGTTAAAACTCGAATCTTTCAGAAATTGTTTTTGTCTCAAGAAAATATATTTCTTTTCGAAATATATAGAGAACTAATACTAAACGAAAATTTAACCAAGAAGGTACCTAAGTTAGTGTGCTGTTAGTATGTTCAAAAGTTGTTTCAGATGTTACATTCGATCAATGCATCTTTGCTTTTTTTTAAATTAAAAGACATGTCGTTGAAATTCTGCACAAAATGACACATTTTATTTAATAAATACAAAATTTTTGACAGAATGCTTTGTCTAACCTATTGATGGTACTTGTACTGTTATGTGATCGTCATGTAGAGTTTCAGATTGTTCAATCCATCAACTATAATTTCATGGACATTACAGGAGTGACTTTAATGATCAACAAATCTTGGTAATTTATTCATGAAAATAATCAACACGGTAGTTTTGATTCAGATGATGTCTACAAAATCAAGCGCCATCCTTCCATTATGTCCAGTTATTTCCTTACATTTTATTACCAAACTCTAATACTACTAAATGATTGTCATTGATATATATTTTCTGCATCTATTATTTCATCTTCTGAAATCTTCAGTATGATCTGTCTATGCTTAATTCTTTCTATGAATTGTAATTAGTCTATAAATTGAAGTATCTGAAACTATGATTAGACTACTCATCATATTCTCATATAACATTGAAGAACGTCAAAGACAGGAAGAAAAAA